GTTTTACAGTTGAACGTCAGTGCAGTTTCAGCGGCGACATGAGAACGCAGATTGTATGAGAGAGCCCATCTGCTTAATGCTGAAGCTGTTTTGGTTATACCCACCACACCTCCGCCTTTCTTTCCAGTCGCATTCAACCATTCTTGAGCTTGGTCTGGGCTCACTTGGTTGAAATCGGCTGCAGATCGTTTGACAACCAAATTGCCCTTCTTAAATTCCTCAAGCACTTTTGCCGGTAACTGATGCATCTCTGCGAGATAGATTGGTCCCCATCTTGCGTAATTTGTGTGATCGTACCTCATAAAATAAGGCAGCATGCATCTGAATGAAAACAAGTGCAAGTCCCATATGCCATCACGCTGGGCTCTAGTAAACATTAACAAAATAGATACCATCTCCAGATAACTCCACCAAAAATAAAAATTTGCATTTGATGATCGCTCCTCTACGAATTTATCCATGACATCTTGAAGCCTGAAAATTTGAAAATATATATAAGTCGAAGTAGACAAGAAACGTGTAAATGTTAAGGCTGGGAGACATGAAAACTTAAAATTGGCCAAAAATATTCGTGTGACATGTACCTTGCCGTTTTCAGCGTTGTCGTCAACTTGTCGATGTCGTCGGCTTCGGACAGCTTCTCAATTTCATCCGCAAGATTTGCATCAATGGTTCGAAGAAATGTTAGCAACTCGGGTAAAAGAAGTCTCCACAATGCTTGAAATGATAACTTGTGGCTGCGCATTCCCTTATTGTATGCCTTTCCCGCCATCACATGCTCGATTGTGCTGCTACCTAAAATCCCTGCTTCTGCCCATGCTTCAGCAAGGCCACAGTCTTTGGTGTGCTGCCCAATAACCTTGAGAAAATTCATGGAAATGTGCAGTCCACCGAGACGCGGGATCAGCTTATCTTTGTATTCAGGGATAGTCCATTTGAGGTCCATTAACTTGTAATACAAGGCTTGATCAACTGTGAGAACTGTGTATTCTTGCCCTAGTTGCGAAGAGATGTACATACAGCGTCTCACTACAGTGTTCAGTGTATCTATCTCGTGTGCTGGTGCCTGAATTATTGGCATGTAACCCACAGTAGTAATTGCCGCGCTTTCTGCACTCCGTTTACTTAACGACTGATTAAAAGCCGACCAGCTAGGACGTGTTTCTTTGTTTTGTCGCGTCACAAGGTAAGACATATCGATGGCGCGTGCTTGCTGCGCAATGTCAGACTCGTCCTTCTCAACTGTGTACCACTCGATCTCGACGCACTCGGCAAATACTGGGCATGTTTTACCCTCGTTGATATTTGCTGGTATAAGTTTTTCCATGGCTTCTGGAATTTTCAAAGTAACATTTGACGATGGCTTTAATTGCGATAGTTGTGCGTCTGGTGCAGGGCCTCTTTGCCATGCAGCCACTTGAGTTGCATGGAATGTATTCTTGCCATCCAGAGTTGAATCGTTGATGTCGATGTTATCGGCGGTGTAGTGGGTGAAGACGTCACTTGAGAGGTTGGGCGGAACTACAGCACCATTGTCTCTATTCATCGATTGCAGTGTATGCTCTGCTAGCGCTGTATCAATCTTCAGCACTTGCTTATAGCTGAGAATGTGCCCCGCACGATGGAAAAGCTCCACCAAATGCTTCGACCTTGTCAGTTGATGCAGTGTGCTTGCAAGACCGATATGCTTTGGAGTCCACCTTTTACCCTCGCTCACTGCGTATACTATATCTTGTGCGAGGCTCAGAATCAGCGTTTGGCGCTTTGCACTGCCTTTACCTTCGGTTTCACTATCACAGTCTATGAGTGTTTGCCCGCCAAGAACCACATTCAAGAACATGTATAATCTATCGGGGACGCAGTCAATTGCAGCGGCCTCGGCCACATCAAGGCCTTCATGTCCAGGTGTCGCAATAAAGTCACCTCGTATCTGTAGAGCAACGTGAATTAGCGAACGAAATGCATCATCGTCGTGTTGGTAAGTGGGCATAGTGAGCATATCATCGTTACTAATCGTAGAATAGTAGTAATCAGCAAGTACATCGTGGGAATACTTCCGTGGAATAAGTAATGGTTCTCTTTCTAATTTGTTTCGTTCCAGCGGTTGTACAAATTCAAACAAGCTACCCAACCTTTCCACTAATTTTTCTTTGAATGAGGTTCTACGACTGAAAAACGACTGAGGAACGGATGTCTCTGTTTCAGCAGCTATGTCCTGATATCGCTGCCAGACGTCCGATAGTTGAAGAACCTGTTCTTTTTCGGCAGCATACTGGAGCTCATTGCACAGGAATATGAAGGCAATGTCAGTGTTCTCTGATTCTTTCTTTGTTTTGGATGTACTATAACTGTAATCATTTCGGCAATTTTGGTGATACTTGCCTTCAGCAGCAATGAGATCATTTACTCCTGCAAGGCGAACTCGCATCTTGTTATCCAGTTTAGACAATTCTAGAATATTTTTACTCACGTTAAATGTGGACACTGAAATAAGGCGCTGTTTTCCATCAGGCTCCTGACAAAACATACATAAATCCCAATTTACTGGTTGAGTTGATCGCCTTGTTGAGCAAGCCTCCGAAGTAGAAACACCAGACGGCATGCCTTCAGATGACTCCCTTCTTCGTTTAGATGTGTTATCGCTTTGCACAGTTTCGGTCAAGCGCTTAATTTTGCCTTTATGAGTGAAGTCTGAGTAACATTTCCTATGCCAAACCAGTTCAGGATCACCGGCAAGGGAAGAGTCAAATGCAATACATATGCGATCCATTGCCTCATTGTAGCACGTGTCATTAGGTGCGTTGCGTCTCGCATTGGTCGCTTCTTTTAACTTCGCTAGTCCCCTCTCTGTGCCTTCGTGTAGAATATCGTCGCATCTACTGTTACATATAACACATAACTTCAACTCAACAGAGCCGTCTCTTTTCCTCTTATTAGAGCTATTCGCAGACATTTCGTTTCCAATTTTATCACAATTTAAGCAACGTTCAAACACTCGCAAGTAAGATAACTGTATACACTTCCTAAAACCCGCATATGTAATAAGCTGACCGTCTAGACTACCTAAAAACCACCTATAGTAAGTTCACCGTCTAGACTACATAAAGCCCGTCAGTTGTTGTAAACCTCCAATAGGCGGCCTTTTACTTTGATTGATATTGCTACATTACTTGCTTTAATCTATATAAATAAAGGGATTGTAGGGCTTGGCGGAAAAGCATTCTAACATTCTAAAGGATAACTGCGCTAATGCACTGAAATGTTTTCAAAAGCAAGAAGAGAATAACAACACAAATATGGTATAGAAGCATGCACTGCGAATACTTCTGTTCCTTATGTGCGCCATTCTTTCTATTCATGTGACATGAATATTATTTGATAGAAGTTGTAAATAGTGCTTTCTGACTAAATATGTGAATGTTGCAAAGAAAATGTCGTATTCAGGACGAATTTGTCCACCTTTTTGCTACATATATAACAAATCAACTCAAATTCACGTGGGTTTATGACGTCATATTTTAAAATGCAAATTACACCCTTTAACATAATTTTTAAACCCGGCAACATTGATTTTCGAAATTAGCATATTCGAATTAACAAAACTAGCCATGTTGTCAGCTTTTTGAAAAAGATGCCCGTACCTTCACAATATGGGCTTCTGGGAACCAGTCTATGTGGATGAAACAGCTAAAGAAAGATCCAGTTTATAAGAAGATTATGCACACAAAAAATGCACTTGTGGAAAACGATGATTTTGATCCAGAAGAAGCGTTAGAAGCAGCTGTTGATATGAGAAAGTTTCTTATAAAAAGGCTTTTAAAGGGTCACAAATTTAATGAGGAGAATGATGATGATGAAGAGAATGATGATGATTAGACTCGATTAATAGGATTGAAGTCATGTATTCGAACAGTATTAGCACGTAAAAAAATACCAGTATAGACCCAGCATGTAAATTGTGAGTCATTCAATAAATTGCTTTTTAATTACTTGTCTTTTCTTGTCATTTTTTACATGGGTCAGGCGGGTACAAATCAAAATGGCAAAAACATGCGAATACGAAAATGTATACATTTGTGTACATAAATTTTGCAGTGGCTTCCACGAAAAATGTACACACAGTCTTCGGGCTTAAACGGGTCTTATGAGCAGATGAGCATGTGCTCATGAGCAGTTATGAGCAGGTGCTCACACGTTCATGCAGGATGAGCATGTGAGCATGTGCTCATGAGCAACTATGAGCATGTGCTCATACGCTCATCGCATAAGATTGTATACCCGACATGATTTTGAAAATCTAACAGCGCAAGATGCCTTTGCGTCACTCAGATAAATACGTCTTTCTTCACTTGATAGATGGTGAATGTCTGTCAAATGATTTGATAATTTGCAAAGGTTTTTCTTTCCGCACAGCAGACAGTCTTTACGCGTTCGCGACATCGAGCGAAATTATTCCTTTTATCAAACGGGACGCAGGGACTTGCTTGCGGGACGCTTTGAGTGTGTCCCTATGTGCGGGACGCACGGGACGTCCTTACGGGACGCCCGGGACTTGCTTGCGGGACACTTTGAGAGGTGTCCCTATATGCGGGACGCACGGGACGTCCTCACGGAACGCATTTTAACGTGTCCTTGCGTCCCGTAAGACTGTTCTTATGGCTAGACCCATATAGGTTACTTAATTCATTATTATTCCCAGTTTGACATAAGTAGCGTAAGGATTAAACTATATATTGGTATCACTGAATACGTCACTAACATACTGAAATTATTTAAATTAGTGTGAACATACATTTGCAAACGGAAATGTATTTAAAGTGATCGAAGCTGTCAAATGGTTTATATCACTTAAAACGAAACCAAACGCCATGCAGTAGTCTATTTCGTGACTGTGCTCTTGAACGGTTGGTTTAAAAGAAAACGTGAAGAAAATTATGGCACACTTGTTCAGACAAATGTATGTCGATGAAATTGACTATGAGTTATTCACTTCTGAAAAACTTACTGATTTCGTGTTTACGGAGATCATATACCGTCAAATTCAGAAACTGGAAGAGGAGACACCCATAAATCAAGACGAAATTGATGGTAATCAATGGTCCAAGTTTGGACAGCAGGTTGAAGGTTTAGATGAAGAAGGGCGCTGGATGAATTACGCTGAACAGGCTCTGGCAATGCTGAATCATGAAGTGATGTGGCAAGCAATCGTTGAAGCATGCAAGATTTTAAAGTATCCTGAACCATCAGAAACACAAAGAGATTATTTTGAAACACTTTTTGACATGTCATGTTTTGTTTGGCATCAAATATATTCTGAGTTCGAAAGAACTGTTCCTCTAAACAATCTCATGGACTACATTAGCTGTGTTTGTAAATTAAAATACAATTCAACCATATAATGTATTTAAGAAATATATCTTTTTAAAACGTATTGTGTTGTTGTCTTTTCTTTATTCCATGCTGTTGCTTGCAGTATCAGTATCTATTTTAACCATGGGCACTTGCTACAGTAAGAATGATAAAGTCAAGAGAAACAAGGATCATAATAGACAGAAAATGTTCAGATTCGGCATTAGCTTTGGTCGTAATGATTTAAATCTGGAGGGCCATTTTCAAATGGGGTACAATAGCAAGACAATTAAGAATTATGGACCCATTGAAAAGCGGTTGGTTCTCCCAGAAAATTTACTTTCAACAATAACAGAATCAAAAGAGCAGACAGTGCTGACTTCAAGGTCGGATACTGAAGCAACTGAGGCGTAGTGTTATATCGAAAAGACATCATGTAACTGGTAAATATAACAATGTGTTCATGGCGTTTGATTTCGTTTTATGTAACCTATATGGGTCTAGCCATAAGAACAGTCTTACGGGACGCAAGGACACGTTAAAATGCGTTCCGTGAGGACGTCCCGTGCGTCCCGCATATAGGACACCTTTCAAAGTGTCCCGCAAGCAAGTCCCTGCGTCCCGTTTGATAAAAGGAATAATTTCGCCCGATGTCGCGAACGCGTAAAGACTGTCTGCTGTGCGGAAAGAAAAACCTTTGCAAATTATCAAATCATTTGACAGACATTCACCATCTATCAAATGAAGAAAGACGTATTTATCTGAGTGACGCAAAGGCATCTTGCGCTGTTAGATTTTCAAAATCATGTCGGGTATACAATCTTATGCGATGAGCGTATGAGCACATGCTCATAGTTGCTCATGAGCACATGCTCACATGCTCATCCTGCATGAACGTGTGAGCACCTGCTCATAACTGCTCATGAGCACATGCTCATCTGCTCATAAGACCCGTTTAGGCCCGAAGACTGGGTGTACATTTTTCGTGGAAGCCACTGCAAAGTTTATGTACACAAATGTATACATTTTCGTATTCGCATGTTTTTGCCATTTTGATTTGTACCCGCCTGACCCATGTAAAAAATGACAAGAAAAGACAAGTAATTAAAAAGCAATTTATTGAATGACTCACAATTTACATGCTGGGTCTATACTGGTATGTTTTTACGTGCTAATACTGTTCGAATACATGACTTCAATCCTATTAATCGAGTCTAATCATCATCATTCTCTTCATCATCATCATTCTCCTCATCAAATTTGTGACCCTTTAAAAGCCTTTTTATAAGAAACTTTCTCATATCAACAGCTGCTTCTAACGCTTCTTCTGGATCAAAATCATCGTTTTCCACAAGTGCATTTTTTGTGTGCATAATCTTCTTATGAACTGGATCTTTCTTTAGCTGTTTCATCCACACGAGACGCTCCATATAAATATTTTCCAGTTCCTTCTGGAGTTTAGGAAGAATATTAGAGTAAGCTTTGTCCTTAGCGGATTGTTCATCTACACCACTGTTGATAAGGCTTTCTTTCATTTCCTCAAATGCTATATTACTTATTTGCTTTGCTTCTTCTATTAACGGTATCCAAGGATCCATTTCCTCTTCAGTTTCTGACTCATTATCAGTCATCGTCGAAATTTCAGACACTTCAGTTGAAGTTATCGAAACGTCGTCTTGAAAATCCCTTTCCTGGCTATCCAAGTCCGTTTGAGACATGTTTCTTTCTTGTGCACCTAGGGGACAGTATTCCTTTTCGTGTCTTCGTAGATTGTAACCACGATTAAATTGCTTTCCGCAAAATTGGCAGCTCATTCCGTTAGCACTGACTGTGCAGAAATGCCTTGCTATTGAGCAGTATTGCAGTTTTATGAGCAGATGAGCATGTGCTCATGAGCACTTATGAGCATGTGCTCATACGCATGGGACGCCCGGGACTTGCTTGCAGGACACTTTGAGAGGTGTCCCTATATAAATCGCACTGATTTTAAGAGCAAAATGTTGTTGTCAAAGCTACCGGGTTGGTTGACTGCATGCATAAATTAACACATGGATTAACGTTTTGTACACGCGATAGTTATATCGCACGCAAGAACGCAGATTATAGTGTTTCAAACAATCTAATTCACATCACAATCAATCAGTCAACATGCAGTGTAAAGCAGACATCGTTGGGATCCTTGACATGGACGGATTTCAAACTGGAAAGAAATTTTTCTGTAAGGAGTTGGGAGTCATAAAGGTCGGAGACCCTGAAGCCTCGTCGTTCTTTTTCGATATTGGCTTACACTGGAACGAGCTGAACGAGAAAGACAAGAGAACGTGTAACTTCGTCCAGAAGAATATACATAGACTCCCGTTTGGAATGCCACGGGGCACTAAAGCATTTCAAATTTCGGACTTGCAGGCAATTGTAGAGAATTTCTACCGTGAAATACAGATAGATTCAAACTCTACAATTGCCTTCAAAGGCGGACATTACGAAAGGGATTTGCTGGCGAGTCTCCGTATTCCGGCCGTAAATTTGGAATGCTTTAATTGTCCCAAAGCTGAAAAACTATTTGATCAATTGATCTGGTTAGAAACCTGTGGGAACCACCTGGAA